CCAGCTGGAGGTATAAACAAAAACACTCTGTCCCAACTTTTGGGTCAAACAGACCATCCTATTATGAAGTAGGGGTGAAAAAGTGAAAATCCTTTTAAATTAAGCAATAAAAATATGCGACAACCTGCTAATGCACTCTAAAACACAAAGAGACTCAACAACTACCCACATACCAAAAATCATACCAAACCATCCCCCAGATTTTCCAAACATTCAACACAAAAAGTCCAACATTAAACATTTTGTAAATATCAAACGCAAACAGCTAGGGGACCCAAATTTAAACCACTAAACCATGGTAATAACAACTACATGCTACCTTAATATCGCACAAACAGTCCATAACGCGAAAACAACAGAATAAAAAAATTAAACTGCAGTACCAAGGTCAATCACCAGGGGCTCAAAGTCAACCTACACAATCTCCAAGGCCCCATCCATCAATCTGCCAAATATCGTACAGTTCCTTCTCACCGATCTTCAGATATCAGACCAAACATGAAACGGAGTAAAAACAGTACCCCCATTTTCATGGAGGGTAATAACGCGGACCGGGCTAATTTAGAAGCAGGGCTGATTTACATCCCTTACATTCTGCGGTGAGAAACGTCGTCCCAGATAAATCTGTTTAGTGTTGTATCTGATCCGGCTGTACAACACGCCGATGACTCAGGTCCGCAGGCCGTCCTGTTCATTTCTCAGTTTATTGTCTTCGTCACCAGGTCTCTACCAGGGCCGACTGAAAATACAGTATAGTAGAAAATTGCCAAAATATGGGCAATGAATATTTTATGATAGGAGAGTGTGTTTTTTTTACCGACAAATACCATTGTTCTAGAGGATAAGACTACTAAGTAACCAGGTCTAGCCCTGACCGGTAAAAAATTAAGCAACAGCGCGTAATAGAAAAAATCGCGGTATCCAACGGAGACTATCTATACATGTAGTCATAGTGTATACTTTCACAGCCGATCCAAGTGCCAACCTACTAGTAGAAAATAACGTCATGCCTATGGACAAACGTTTAATAACAGTTTTTAGTTGAAAATCTATACCCCAAAACACACAGAATGCATGTGATGAGGTACAGATGTCCACAGCTAAGGTTGTACAAACATCCTTCACCTGCCGTCTGTCTCTTCTCCTTTTTATTCCACCGTGTCTTACACCTGACGAACATCTTTTAATAGCTCCTGCAGTTTCGTCGCTGTTTTGTCCTTATTCCCGAGTCATTAAGGTCTTTCCTCTACCAATGGGTGTTACAACGGGAAGGTTTGTGCAATGACCTCCTTTCAGGTTTTAATACTTAAAAAGTTTATTGAACGGGAGGGCGCTTCCTGTTTTCATCAGATGACCAAAACAACGTAAAGGCCGTACGGCGTCGTCGTAATGCCGTGTTTGTATATACCAGACTGCCGTGTATGTTCAGTGGGACTCAACGAAGCATTCCAGAACTCACACGGGCCCTGCCGGCCGGCTGGAAACCATTGCTACTCATGTGTTGGCTGAAGTATCTCCAAGCAGATGTTAATGCCGTATAAAGTTTTCCGAGCATCACGGTTTTTCTGACAGTCCCAAATTCTACAGACAATGGAGACGTCTTTTTAAAAGTGGTAAACGACACTCAGAAAATTTACTTTAATGATTTTGCACCCCAGACATCTGCTTGAATACCAGCGGCTGAATTATACCAGAAATGGATCAATAGGTAGACAAAACACGCGTCAAACACCGAAGCTGACCCAGATCCTTACATCTGCTTGACCGGGAATGCGGCTCGCCCGCGGCATGTGTCTGTTCCGGGCCTGACTGTCATGGCCGGGTCGGCCGTGAGGTTCACACGGTTTCCCGGTGTGGGGACGGAGGCTAGGCTGGATACATCTGGTGATGTACACGTCTCAGTCGTGACGATTGTCGTGCCTTGTTCATATCATATCCAAATTATAAAATAAGGGTCCGGGTCATTCAAGACAAGAGTATTAGTATAACATGTAAACCCCTGATGGCGGCCATCCAGGAAGATTTAAACGTCTATAAACAACTTGGCGGCCAATTAAACCATCCTCAAGTTGGCGGCCATTTTTAAATGCCGAAGTTGGCGGCCATTTTTAAATGCCCCGATTGGCGGCCATTTTTAAAGCCCCTGTGCTCTGCCCCGGCTCGGGTATCTGTCACACGTGCCCGGAGACCACATCAGGGGTTCGTGCTGTCATGGCGGTTATGTGGGCTATTCCTCTCCAAGGGTCTGTACACATCGTTCAACCTCTTGTAACAACACTGTCGGGTCACGGTCCCGCACATTTCTCCTGGAGTGTCTGGTCTTCCCGGCCTCGTCTCAGCACGATCCGAACACCTTAGCCGGAACGTCTTGGAAACGTTATGACTTTCCCAGCGGCAGCCTGCTGAAGACCGGGGAGGTGATGGTGGGTCCAGGCCCGGCAGGAGCCCGGAAATTGTTCCCACCTCTCACTGACCCTTGGAACGAGAACAGGACTGACACATACCCCGGTAACGAGGTTTAAGTACCCTCCGTACATTGACACTGACGTGGGGAAACAAGACTGACAACTCGGTTGAACAACACAACACGCGTAACAAAACTTCACGCACATTCACATACACGAAAATATCATGCAGACGGATGTTTACAGCTCCAGGGTGCCCTGTATGTCTGAACCCCGTCTAACGCCCCCATTGTCAGGAGCTCCGGTTACTGATTTTAGCTTACAGGGTTTAACCTTTGATCCGGGGGTAACTTGAACTTGAACCTGACCAAGTGCCGCAGGTTCTGTAGTCCCCCCCAGAAATCCTGTTCTTTACCGTTACTTTAAGGGGAGGATTTTTGTCAACATGTGATGTAATCGTCAAACGATGTCTAGTGGCGTCACAATGATACATCCATGTATGTTTAGCTAGCTGAACTGAACCGTTTTTCACGAAAGCTTTGCAGACGATGTCTTAAGCCTCGTCTATAGCAAAGAGCTTTAGCTAATTAGGCAGGTGAGGCCTGGAGCCAATCACATACGTCTTACAACAGGTTTGCCGCATTATCTCTAAAGTTTTTAACTGGAGCAGGCATTGAGTAGCATCGTCATCTTTTTCATATGCGAATGCTACTGCGCAGTTTTTTAAGCCCGCTTTTCCCAAATCTGTACCACAGTTACTTCTGTTGCACACTGGGCAAAAATCTCAGTAGAGAATCAACCGTACGTTTGTCTACAGTCTCTGTGGGTTGACAATTTCCCATCGCTATATAGGATTTATCTGGCCATAGAAATACAGCTGCCAACTAGTATTTCTGGAAAATTATGCAACCTATTTGGTCATTTTATTATTTTTCCTGCAACCCACAGTTTACAGAGTCTGGTATGATTGTCTGTAAACGGTCAATGTGAGAACACCTGGGCTGTTAAATCCGGGCGCTGTTGGCGGGAAATTTATGTGTGGCATCTGCGAGCCATCATGTAGAGAGAGTCGGGTGACCTTTCTGAACCCTGGTGTCATTCCTTCCACAGGCTGCAGCCGCGCCGCAGACTCAGCAGCGCAGCTCCTCTGCTAGCTGGAGCGGACTGAAGGCCGACCCTGCACAGCCTCGCCTGGTCTCGGCAGCCAGCCAACCCGGCTTCACACCCCTGCGATCTCTCCCAGGTACCGTACCGCACCCTACCCTCACTGTAACGCCGCTTCACCGCGACTATCTGTTGATTAATTATCATTTCCATTACAATAAGTTGTTATGACATTCCTAGAATTTGTGTGCTAGAGAGAGCCTGGATACAAAAATAGCCCCAGAGCCGAACGTCGGGATCCCATGTGGCGGTAAGTCGGTAAGTCGGCTGTATACAAACCTACACGGACTTTATAAGAACCGGGCCTACTCCAGCCGCGCCTTGACAGGTGTTGTGGCCTCCGTAAATCTTGTCCAGATTGGTCCTCAGGCCCCCTTTCCAGACGGCGATCGCTGAGCGACCGTACAGCGAACAATATGAAATTGGATTTGTGTGACAATTGGTTTTATGATTCTAATATGTTGCACGATGTAAAAGTACGGTTTAAAACACAAAACAGCAAAGAAAACGTGAAAAAATCCCTACTAGTATGAAACACGGTGTATGAAATTCGTTGAGCGATCTGTCAAATGTTCGTCGCTCATCGGCCGCCGCCTCCAGTGGAGAGGGGGTGTTGTCGGGATGGAGGTTGGGGTCGGGTAGCTGTGACCTACAAGGCGAGGATAAATGAGTCGTGCGCTTCGGTACGGCAGCTTATCGTGGCTACAAAGTAAGATCTGACCACAATGTCAGCGGATCAGCACGGAGCGGGGAAAGTAGGAGGCTAATTGAAACGAGAGGAGAGAGAGAGAGAGGGGCAGCTTTGACGCATTGCCGTAGTTGGCCTGTAGTCATGTAGGCGCGGTGGGGTGATATTAAAGCTGTGATTCTACAACTTCGGGTTCAAGCATCTACAGACTTCAAGTATTTGTCCGGTCGATGCGCATAAATACAGCTTGTGAGCTATGATAATAACTTACCCCAGCGTAGCGTAGACAACACATGTCGTATTTCTATTATGATTTACTGAAAGACGCTTTGATGCTCCGTATAGGCTGGAAGCTATAATATTCGTAATTTAGACACTTCTCTGTCCTAGTTTGGCACTCAACAGCTTTTCTTATCTTTTTAATATCGTTCTAATCTTCATTCTGGACTGCCGCGAGCATCCATCTCTATCCGTCCAGGACAGGTCCCCCGGCAGTCCGGGAGGGTTAGACCCCTGTCCGCGGTACATTCCGTCTCTATCACGTAACATTTTCGGCATTATCACAGTATCGGTCTGATCTCAGAGAGGCAAGCGGGATATGCTAAACAGTCCCTGGTCATGTGCGCTTAAGATTCTTGCATGAAACTATCGGTCTGATCGAGAACAGCTCCATTGTGAGGGAACTGTCCGTCGGACAGGCCGAGACCGGCAAGATGTAGAGTCGCAGAGAGGCAAGATGTAGAATCGCTAGCCTCAGCTCCGCATCGCGTCTGTACAGTAGTTCAACACCTGAAGTAGGTCCACACTAAAAGACAACAGTGCGGAAGGGTATGCCTGTCTTTTTCCCTACTTTCCCGTCTTTTAAAACTTAGTATATCTTATAACGTTACATCTGTAGGGAGTTAATCGTGGCTACTAGGATGTAGCAAATGCCTAATCTTCAAGCAGATGTAAGGTTCGGCTCAGTCTTGGTGTTGCGGCTGTTTTCAATGTACGTCTTGTCTAGTACAAATGTATTGTAAGATTTTAACAATAAGTCTCCTCAAATTAGGATTCATAACGTTTTCCATCGTCTGATTTTTTTATAGTCAATTTCCTTTAACTTAACTTTTTTATTTTTGTTCTGCGCTGTCAAAATACGAGCCTCGAATCCCTTGTTATCATAGATAAACAATAATATTGTTTTAGTAGAGAAACAACAGCAACATCAAAAGGCGGTTGTTTACTGGTTTATAGCGTTATATTTTATTATTTATTGTATTCAGATTTTGTTGTGCAGTCAGAAACCGTCGCGACGTGACCCTGAAAATCTGGTTGGAGATTAGCTCTATAACACATGCGCTCCTGCCAGCCGTCAGCTGAATTTATAGCCAGCCTTCCCCGATCCTTTGAAAGCAGAACTATGACCGAACGAGCTTCGGTAAGTCCCCGGTATGGGACTGATGTTCGCCGCGGTGACGCCGCACGTAAAGCCCCCTGCCGGCGTCAGAAATGTCATACTCTGATATGGGACATTCTATATTCTCAATAAAACAGCGGCTAAAATTGGAGAGAAGGTCAGGCCGTACAGGACCGGTTTTAGAAGCGTGTTGACGTGATGAGAGCATAACTCACACTGGTGTGTTTGTTATGCTTACAGTGAAACTTGAGACGGACTTATGAAACTCCTGAGAGAATCTCTGTGATCAGCGTCAGAAGGAAGTGAACGTGGCGAGTCAAGACACAGGATGTCTTAGCTTTTAATCAGCAAGACGCGATGACCTTGCGTCGTGACCTTGATCATGAGTACGTGTGATTCCCCAAGCCGGAAAGGGATGGAGTCAGGCGGGGGGTCTGGTATATGTTTAGGGGGTCTGGTATATGTTTAGGGGGTCTGGTATATGTTTAGGGGGTCTGGGATATGTTTAGGGGGACTGGTATATGTTTAGGGGGTCTGGGATATGTTTAGGGGGTCTGGGATATGTTTAGGGGGTCTGGGATATGTTTAGGGGGTGTGGGTGATGTTCTGGAGTTTAGGGGACCTTTGACATATGTAGGGGTTCTGGCCTGGGCCCTGGGCCTTGGCTTTGGTCAGATGAGGTGAAGGTGGTCTGTTTGTAAACTAGGACTGCTAGACTGGGGGTACGGGGTCTTGGTCCATGATGCTGGAATAGGGTCATGTTGAAGCCAGAGGTGTCCGGGTTCATTGTCAGCTACCTCAGATGTCTTACGTAGGTCAGGGTGAGGTCGGTCTTGGCTCCAGATGCCTGGCAAGCCAAGCCAAAGGTAAGGTAAAGTTGAAGTCAGTCGGAAAGGGGCGTGGATCAGATACCGGGTCGTTGTTGTCAGTCGGAAGCTAACAAGAAGCCACTTGAGGTCCGCGCCGTCCGACGCCCTGCCTGGCGACGGCGCTTGGCGCTGGTTCTGGCGCGTCGTGTTGGTAGGTAAATGTTGACGGTCTCACGGAGTCCGTAACTCTACCTTTCCTCTACCTTTGTTGTGCACCTTGTAACGAGTAGAGTCCATCACCCGACACTCTACTGTTTCTATACATAACCTTTCCGTGGATTGTCGATGCGTAAAGGTGCCGCCACAATCGTAAATTTGTTATTGCGGACATCTTTTTCTTGATTCAACACACTTGATGTCGGTTCTCTCACCACAGCCTGATTGAAAATTTTGTGCCAAAATCGTACGTCAACTTTCGACGAATGTGACCGCCCCGTAACAGACCCTGGGATAGGAAGTGATAAACCTTATACTTTGTGTGTCATTGACGCAGACGGCTTTGTGTTGGTTGTTGCCGACCACTGGGAGGTTCTTACACTGAAAAGTCAACACAACAGTTGTAGAAAGCAGAGTCGGTGGGACCAGACTCCGGGCCGTCAGACCACCAACAGACCAGCTGTCAGACACCGACTCACCTCTGATTACCGATCTTGACTTTCCCCACTCAGAAACAGCGGAAGTCAGACGTACCCGCCAAGGGCCGCGTAAACCCTTTAATTTCGTAGCCTCCAAAGCAGGCTTTAACATTGGGCCAATGGCGTGTTGTTTTCTGATTACTACCATTGCTACAATTTTGGTGATTGTCAATTTGTACAACATTTGTCAATGCAATCATCTTCAGCAAGAAAGGATAAAAAAGACTTGCCAATGGTGTACCCTTTAGATTCATAGCCTCCAAACAAGGCTCCTTGTCTGCCGCTTTGATATTGTTGTTTTTAATGATTTATGTTTTCTAATTTGCTGCTGTGAAAAATCAAATTTGTAGAAAACAGAACCACCAGAACACGATAGTAAACAGAAAACAGCGATACACAAGCCAAAAACAAGTATTAGCATAACGCCCGCCAAGGGGTCTGCTGTCGAGGCTATAATTGGTAGTACTTGTGGGTTGTGTACAGTCGGCGGCAGGGCAGGAAGCCTGCAGAAGTGAGTCTGGCGCCGACCAAATTCCCTCCTATTCCCCAACCGCTCGTCAACTCAAGTTCAAATCCGCCACGAAGGACGAGGGGACCGGGGTCCTGTTCTGTAGGACTTTCCATTCTTGTTTTGCTGTGAGATCTGTGGCTTGGTACCAGTGAACTAAATACCACCATGGTTTAACCAGGAGTGGTGTTCAGGCAATGTTAGCCTGTTCGTCTTTACATAAACTTGCTGTTTGGGGAGTTAACACTTTAGACAGCTAACCTTTCTTTCAACACAGCAATTAGGATCTTCACAGTGGGATCTAAAGAATGACCGTTCACTTAGGAAACGGGCCCTTACCAAAACGTGACACAAACAACTCCGTTGATGTTTCTTCGGCCGCCGTCATAAATTGCGATACATACGTCGGCGTGTAGAACGGCAAAATAAGAACTTTGTTATATCAACGATAAAACTGATCTATAAAAACAGCTCAGTGCAGAGACCACACAGACCGGGTGGTGATCTCCTGAGCTCCGAGCGTTAGTGGAGGATAACTCAGGGGAGGATAACTCTGGGTCGCTTGTGTCTGTATTTGGAGCGGCTTATTGCTCCAACGTCAAAGTCAGGATCGAACCTGCGGCCTTCTAATATCCAAGCAGATGTTGGTGAGGAAGATCGTAGCGTTTGAGACAGCCGCTGGGGCTTCACTGACGTGCTTGAGTTGGTTGCTGTCAGAAAATTTTGTGATCTTCTCCTCCAAGCTTAGAGATCAGTCACTCTCTCTCTCCTCTACTCACTTTATGTTAACTTTGCGTCCATCAGTTGTTGCCTGTCTCTCCAGTGCGTTGAAAGTTGAACACAACTTTGATGTTTGAGTCATACAAATCTCCTACAGAGCGGCACAAAGTCTTTGTCAGGCAAGGTCAAGTGTACTTCCTTGACTTTCTTGGTCATCTCACCTATACCGATGACGTCACGGTTCCTTAAGTTACAGGTGGTGTCTTACCTGTATAACCGTGTCGGTGCGATCAAAGCCCCGCCTGTCCGGCCCCTCCTCAGGTGTGTGAACTGTCCTATAAACACCATCACACGCGGCGCGGCGCGGCGGTATGGTGACGACAGGTTCACCTGGCGTTGTTGGGATGTTTGACATGACGTTTGGCGACATCTCGGCTCC